CCTGTTAGCAGTCAAATGCCTTAGGCACTACAGCCCCCCCCCCCGGGGCACCTGCTTCCACAGCTGACCCTTATTAGTTCCCCTCTCCGTGACCCCTCTCCTTCCCCCAGGGTGGCTACTGACCACTCCTTCCAGCCTCAATGAGTCCTCTTGACAACAATTGGCTGCTCCTTATTACCCTCTGTTGCTTGTGTTTTGCGGAGGGGGGAAGTCCTGCAGGGCACTTACTTCCTTTCCTAGGTACCCCCCAAATACGTGTGTGCCACGAAAGATCTCCATGCTAACCAACCCCTAGCAAGGACCCTTGGGACTGATATCCGGCCTTAAAAAAAAATTTAAAAAGCTATCTGATTGATTCCAACTCATAGCGACGCACACTGGATTTCTACAGGCACCCCCATCAGAACAGGCTGCATGGTCAGGCGGAGGAGGACTCCCAGAGGACCCAGCTGCCCAGGCCTCACAGGCCAAGGAGGGCAGCTGCCTTTCCTTAGCCCAAACTGGAAAGGCTTAGAAACTCCTTCAAAACAGCACGTCCATTCTCCATCCCAGAGTTGCATTTTTTAAGCCTTTAACTCTAAATGGATGACTTTGCCTACATTTCAAGGAATTTCAGGAATTGTGTGTGATAGGTTTTCCTCTCTACAAAGTCCCTCACTTTATTTGCTTTTATCTCTATACCTCACTCCTATTTGCCTGTTCCTCTGGTTGGCCTTTCCATTCCCTTTTGTTTTTATGTATTTACACAAACAAAACAAAAAAAGTGTCTTGTTTTGCTGGCATGCGTTTTAAATGTACGTAGAGGGGATTGTAAGTCTCATTCTGTTTCTTTTCACCCAACACTAGGATTTTAAGATCTATCCAAGTAGCTTTCACCCTTTCTGTTGCCTCCTTTCCACAGTGTTTATCCTTCCCATCATGCCACACTCATTAGTGAGAATGCTATAACCATTCTAAAATATACCCTCTTATGCAGCACTTCTCAAACTTTGGTGTGCACATGTATCATTCAGGAATCTTGTTAAAATGCAAGTTTTGATTTAGCAGGTCTGGGGTATGACCTGAGACTCTACATTTCTAACAAGCTTCCAGGTGATGTCTCTGCTGCTGGTCCTGGGGTCACACTTTAAGGAGCAAGACCCTTACGGACCTCTGTGAGCATTCATTTTGGGTTGCTAGGTCACAGGTTATGTATTGACCTAATTTGATAAATGTCACCCATCTGTTCTCCAATCTGTCTGGCTGTACCACTTTACCCCACACCAGCAGGGCAGGAAGTTGTGAGGTATATATTTACAGAGAGAAGGGAAAAGGGCCTCCTTCTTGCTCCTGCCTTCATCCTGCTCCCAAATGTGTCAAAGCCTCTTTTCTCCCTAGTCCAATGGCCCCAAGGCCTTCTGGTCTCAACCTCCACCCACATAGGACCTGGAGCTTCAGCCTACCAGACATCTAGACTAGTTTGACTCATGACGTTGCCAGGCCTGTGCTTTATACCTAACGAGTTCTTGAGAACAAACGTTGAGAGGCCATGGGGTCTTCAGTAAGGTTGTATTTCTTCTAGTCCCTGTGGCTTACTCTTTTGTACCCTGTTACAGTAGACTAGCACTCAAATGCTCTGGCTTTGCCACTTGCAAGTTGCTCTCCTGAGCCTGACTTCTCATCTCTAACATGGGATAATAACATCCTACATGAAATTTATGGTACTCAACTCATATGGCAAGAGCCCTAAGACAGGCGTTCTTACCTCAGTTTTACCCATGAGGAAAGTGAAGTTCAGGGAGGTTTAGTGATTTCCACCAAGGTCATGGAGTTAGATAGTAATAATGCTGGGATTTGAGGCCAGCCTCTGCTAATTCGCCAAAGCTCATGATAACTACAAAACTATATCACCTCATTCACCTCATGTCCTGCCTTGCTGTTATTACCTGGCCATATTTCAGGAAGAACTACAAGGAAATGAGAAGGAAGGGCTATGCCACTGGTTAGCCTCTAACCAGGGGTATGCAGAGTTACAAATTTCCACAGCAAATGGGTTTCGGCAAAGACGAACCAGGTATTCAACAGGATTCTAGGAACTGTTCCCCAGGACCTGGATATTTAGGGAACAGGAGAGGGGAACTTTGGGTCTAGGGCTGCAAGAGCAGGGATTTTAGGATTATGTATAAGGTGACAATCAGAACTGGGCTGGGGTTTGGGCTTTATGAATAAGTAGAGGACAGAGATTAGGGATCATTACAGTCTCAAAGACTGGGTGGGAGTCAGGAGTGGGGTGGGGTCAGGTGAGTGGGTCTCAGCTGTGGGTAAGGTTGTTTATCATGTACCTTACTTGGTAATAACTAATCAGTGTTTTGTTTGGAGGGGGTCAGGAGATGTAGGAATGGCCAGCATCCAGGATATCAAGGGACGGCACCTTCTAAGGCCCTCTTGTTGCTGCAGGCAGCTTGCTGGGTCAGTTTTGGGAACCCATGAGCTAGCTGTGCAAGCATCTCCTGGCACCAAGTCCCAGCCCCAAGCATTTCACAATCAGAAGCATTTCATATCTGCACATTTTGAGATTTCATGGTACACGACCTTTTACATCTTGTCCACACCCATCCATTCACCATCTTAGGACCCAAATTCTATCTATGACAGAGGATTTCTCTGAAGGCCTTAGGGAAACTGCCTGCTTTTTCAAGGGCCTTCAGGGTCAAAAGACTTTCTGAGACTATAGTGTTCAAAACAATATCTTACTGTTTTCTGGTCCTTACAGATCACTTCACAAATACGTACTGCCTTTGACTCCCAACAACCCCATGACAGGGTTAGAACCCACTTGACATTGAGGCTCAAAGGAATTAATTGGCCAAGGTCACACATTATGTAGCTGGATGAAATAGGACTTATTCATTTTCCCACAACAGACATAGGGAGTCTTACTAAGTGAGTAGCTACTTTCTGGAAACCTTACTACCATGGTTGGCCCATTTACCAGACCTGAGGATGTAGACTGAGATGTTGTTGTTGTTATGTGCCATTGAGTCGGACCCAACTCATGGTGACCCCTCCTTGGGCTTCTGAGGCAGTATCACTACGGAAGTAGATTGCCCAACCTTCCTTCCGAGGAGTGGCTGGTGGGTTTGAACCGCCAGCCTTCTGGTTAGCAGTCAAGTGCCTTAGGCACTATGCTACCAGAGATCCTGTAGACTGAGATAGGTGCTAGGAAGTCTAAGAAGCAGAGGATGTCTGGATAGAAAGGTCTAGAAGGTGAGTTAAAGTCTCACGGGGCTTCTGCCTAGTCCTCTCCCAGCTACACTTCTGTCAATGAGGCTCTCTCCTGATCTTTGGGACCTCAAAGTGGGAAGAGGGGTTGATAGGAGAAATGGAGAGTCCAGGGGTACTGGGGTAGAAGTCCTCAGTGAGGTCTGAGGCTAAGACAGCTGAGCAAGAAGAAAATGTTGCCAGCTGCCAACCACCCAGTAGTGCCACCACATCCACACGGGAGCCCTCAGTGGCTTGGCCAAACTCTGCCTGGTTAAGCCCTCTGCCCCATTGCCTCCTCTCAAAGCCCCTGTCTCACCATACCAAGTACCTGTAGCATCAAGTTGAGAGAGGTGCCCAAAAGTCAGGCCAGTCTGTCCTGTTAGCTCCAGAAACACTACACAAGCCCTGGCTAGTGGCTAGGGTGCTGGGGCCTGCTGAGGCTTGAGGGTCCTGGTCCCACTGCCCTCCCTCTCCCTGGGCCTCAGGCCCTAGGCCTGGGCTCAACAGACACAGGCAGCAGGATGGGGTTGCCTTCTATTGGTCCAAGTCCTGAGTGTGGCCAGGGTGAGACATGGAGGCAAGGAGGCCCACAAGGCTCAGCAGTGTGGAGAAAAGCAGCAGGAAGGAGGTGGTGAAGAGCATGGCTGGGAGGGCACTGAGCACCAGCAGCAAGATGGCAGGCAGCAGATGGCGCCACGCTGCAGTCACAACGGGCCACAAGGAGCTTAGCAGATGGGAGCCGGTGGTGAAGAGGGCATGGCACAGCATCAGAGCCAGCAGCAAGTAGAGTATTCCCTCAAGACCCCACAGCACGCGCTGAAGTGGTTGCCGCCAGCATGATGTGGTCCACCACTGGGCCCAGCTCCGGGGCACATGGCACGCCCACCAGCGCGCCCAGCCCTGCCGCGAGACCCAGACGGACCAGGGCGCTGCAGGTTGCAGCCCCTCACCGGCCCCGATGGCATCTGTGTCCACTCGTGGCTGCTGCATCACAGCTGGTGCACCTGGGGAGAGGGCCCAGCAATTTGCAGGAGCAACCCTGAAGAGGCCTGGGATCCCAGGACAGGTGAGGGTGCAGGGGTAGCGAGGGCACTAGGATAGTTGGGGTGGGGCTGTGAGAGGGGCTTGGAACTTACCCCTGGGCAGAGCCACCTAAGTCATGTTGCTTCCTGCAGTGTCCAGGACGGCCTGGCAGCCAGATCCAAGCCCCCACATTTGCCCACCCCCACCCTCCCCAGAGGAGCCCTATTGTGACCCGGGTCAGGGTGGGGTCCAGCCAAGAGAGGAGCCACTGTAGACCCTCCAGGCTGGCAGGGGAGCCAGATGAACCCTTGTACGCAGTGTCTAAAGCTTTCTTATGGGGAAGCCCCTTCCTAGGTCCTTGTCCCTTCTCTGCTGCCCAATATCCAGCCCCACTCCACTCTCTTACAGGCTTTTTCTTTAGACCCTCATTTTCTCGAACCACAGAGAAAGCCAGAGTGGCTACCTCCAACCTGCAGGCTCTGAAATCACTTTCCCATCCTGCCTGGGGCTCCCTGTCTCTCATCATATTATCCCTCACCTTCCTTCCCCAGCTGGACCCCCAGATCAGACCTAGTTGTCCACTGCCCACATCGTGGAGTCAGAGGTTCCTGGAGGTTCAGGCTGGGGATAAGGGTACCTCCTGCTTGCCCAGCCTAGGATGAAGGGAAAAAAGGCCTAAGGAAGCAGGATGGCCAGTGTATTTTAGGAGGGCACCCAGTGTTTTGAGAGGGTACTCAGACCCAAGGGTGGAAACAGAAAACCAAGCCAAGCAGGGCCAAGGGCATGCCATGGGCCCCCAGGAGCAGACGCAGGCCCAAGAACAGCAGTAACAGCGCATCTTGGAAGCTGACTTGTCTTGTGACTGCCACCGGTGGCAGAAGTAGACCCCCCTGTTGTCTTGGACCTTCGCCAGCCCCCTGACTCTGGCCCCCTGTGAGAAGCCTGTGCTGTGGCAGACGGGGAACTGTGGGCCTGTGTAGAAAAAAGGGAGGCAGCCAGGCTCAGAGAGGTTGATCACTTGCCTACCTGCCTATGTGCCTGCCCACCTGCCAGGCCACCTGCTCACTTACCCATGGAGCAGATCGAAGGCAAGGAAATTGACCAGTAGCAGCAGCAGCAGCAACGCTGGTCCAAGCATGAAAAGGACTGCTAGAACTGCCAGCCCCAGTGCTGCCAGCCCTAGGGCACTGTCCAGAATCTGGGCCAGGCTTGAGTCCCAGAGTGACACACCTGGACCAACTGGACTGCCCGACCCTTCTCCAGCAGCCAGGCCCCTGGGAGGGACTGGGATTGGATCTTTCAGGGCTTGGGGCCTGGATAAGAAGAGCCAGGTCATGGAGACATGTGAAGGTGACAGGAAGGACTAGTGCTGGGAGAAAGTATGAGGGGTGGGGTGGGGGAATGGATGGGGATCTAGCAGACACTCAAAGATAACCTCTGAGAGTAGGGAGTTAGGCGTGAATTGGATATGAACCTCCCTCTCCCCCACACCCATCCTCCTTACCTCCTTCCACTTGGGCCAGCCATTCTCAGACTGGGCAGCTGGGGCATTGTGACCTGCTGCCTGGTGGAGCCGTGAGGGAGAAGGGGTTTGCTTCCTGGTTCTGGCTTCATAAGCAGCTGAGGGGGCCTAGGTGGGGCTTAGCCAGAAGTCAGTGACATCTGAGAACTAAGGCTCACCCTTCTTGTCTTGCTAACTCTCTGCCCCAGGGCCCTCCCTTGGGGATGTGAGTTCTCAGGAAACCATTCTTACCCCACTATTGTGAGGGCAGCAGGCCAGGGGAGAGAAGGAAGGTCTCCACCATCTTCCTGAGGGTTCTCGGAACTGTGTGTCCAGGGGCAAGTCATTTAATCTCTCCCCACATTTCTCCCCGGAGAGTGGGTGAGGTCTGTGGACCCTTTAGGGGGATTTGTCAGGGCAATAACTCTGGAAGACAGAAAGAGGCTCTTCCAGGAAGCAGCCTAAGACTTTTTAGGGCTGGGCTCCTATGTGACCTAATAAATGGAATAGGGGCAGGAGGGAGCTGTTCAGGTGTTCCAAGTACTACAGTTTATGGAAGAGTTACAAAGATAGGAGTTTCAGAAATGGGGTAGGAGATGCGAGTGTAGGAGGGCTACAACATAGTAAACCTCCAAACTGGAGGTTAAGATTACCTTCTGAGGATGAAATTAAGGGAAAATCTGTATATAATCAAGGGATCACAGAGCCCTGGTGGTGCACTGCTTAAGCTCTTGGCTAACTGAAAGGTGAGCGATTCAAACCCACCAACTGCTCCATGGGAGAAAGATGTGGTGGTCTTCTTCCATAAAGATTACAGCCTTAGAAACCCTATGAGGCAGTTCTACTCTGTTGAGTATTCCCTCTCATAGAGTCACTATGAGAGGGAATAGATTCAACAGCAATAGGTTTGCTTCTTTTTTAGTTTAATAAAGGGATCAGTCACCTAGAAAAAAATCTGTCCCTGTTGTTGTTGTTGTTGTTAGGTGCCATTGAGTCATTTCCACCTCATAGCAACCCCATGAACAACAGAACGAAAAACTCCCCAGACCTGTGCCATCTTCACAATCGTCATGCTTGAGTTCATTGTCGCAGCCACTGCGTCACTCCATCTCATTGAGGGTCTTCCCCTTTTTCACTGAGCCTCTACTTTACCAAGCATGATGTCCTTCTCCAAGGACTGGCCCCTTCTGACAACATGACCAAAGTTCGAGAGATGAAGTCTGGCCATTCTCGCTTCTAAGGAGCATTCAGACTGTACTTCCTCCGAGACAGATTTGTTTCTTCTTCTGGCAGTCTGGTACATTCAATATTCTTTGCCAATACCACAATTCAAATGCATCAATTAATTCTTCTTAATTCATTGTCCAGCTCTCACATGCATATGAGTCTACTGGAAATACCATGGCTTGGATTAGGGCACCTAAGTCTTCAAAGTGATATCTTTGCTCTTTAACACTTTAAAGAGATCTTTTGCAGCATATTTGCTCAGTACAACACAGCATTTGATTTCTTTTCTTTTTTTCATTTTATTTTTATTTTTGCCATGTTTCTTCCCCTCCCCTCCCACTCCTGCTAACCAACAAAGAAAGTTTCTTTCTATATATAAACCTTTCCTTGACTTTTTACAATAATGAACTAATACAATATTTCTCCTTCTGTGATTGACTTTTTTCATTCAGCATAATGTTTTCCAAGTTCATTCTCATTATGTGCTGCAATGAACATAGGTGTGCATATATCTGCTCTTGTCCTGGCTCTCACTTATCACTTATGTATCACAGGATATATATCTAGTAATGGGATCACTGAATCAAATGATATTTCTAATTCCAACTTTTTAAGGAATCACTATGCTGCTTTCCACAGTGGTTGTATCATTTCATAGTGCCACCAGGAATGTGTGAGAGTCCCAATCTCTCCACATCCTCGCCAGCATTTGGTATTTTCTGTCATGTTGAACTTTGCTATTAATGCTGGGGCCAGATGGTATTTCACTGTTGTTTTGATTAGCATCTCTCTGATGGCTAATGATCATGAACATTTCTTCAGGTGTTTGTTGGCCACCTGAATATTCTCCTTGGTGAAGTGTCTGGTCATGTCTTCTGCCCATTTTTTAAACTGGATTGTTTTTTTGTTGTTGCTGAGGTATTGGATTTTTCTATAAATTTTAGAGATAAGTCCCGTGTCAGATATGTCGTTGCTGACTACTTTTTCCCAATATGTAGGTTCTCTTTTTACTCTTTTGGAGAATCTTTCGAAGCACATAACAATTTAATTTTTAGAAGGTCCCATTCATCTAGTTTATCTCCTGCTGTTTGTGCATTTTGGGTTATGCTTGGCAGTCTATTTATGCCATAAATTAAAACAAACAAACAACAACAACAACAAAAAAAAAACCTCACTGCCGTCAAGCGATTGGGACTCATAGCAACCCCTCCTTGGGTTTCCGAGGCAGTATCTCTACAGAAATCTCTCTCTCTCTAATTGGCTAGGTGCTCCAGGAATTGAGGGAATACCAATTAAGATATTTCAACAAACAGATACCCCATTGGAGGCACTCACTCGGTTATGCTAAGAGATTTGGAAGACAGCTACCTGGCCAACTGACTGGAAGAGATCCATATTTGTGCCCATTCCAAAGAAAAGTGATCCCATAGATTGTGGAAATTATA